CCCCCAATACATATTTTTGAGTGTTTAAGTCTACATTAAGTATGACTTTTGGACGAAAATTGGACTCTTTTTCATAGGTATCACTCCAGGCATGGAATTTTTTTCCATCAACCAAAGTCGCTCAAAATCTGATGATTTCTATTCCTGGGGACCCCCAATCATCCCGTGAAGTCAGATTTCAAATAACTTTTCTGGGTGGTGAGAAAATCGATGGACAAATTTTGCGTACGGCGGACAACGTATATCTCAATATTATCTCAATATAATGTCTGCATATAGACAATTACCACTTAAAACAGCCTGGTGAAGTGGTGTATAATTATGCTTGTCTGCAGAATTCACATCAGCTCCAAGTTCAAAAAGATTTTTGACCATCTGCATGTTACCTGTAAAATGTACGAAGTTCTTATGAAACAAACTTTTCTTCTAAATTAATCCATTGAAAACTACCATTACGAGCAGCCAAAGACAAAGTTGTATAGTTTTCGACAGTTGTAGCATTTATATTTGCTCCATGTTCAATTAAATATTTAAACAATTCATGTGTGCCTAAAATGTTTGGCAAATAAATAGTTGGCGTTTCGACCATGTTATTTCCATTTTCAATAATTACCATATCGAGCGGCGTTATGGAGTGGCGTCCATTTATCATTGTTTTCGGCATTTGCCTTTGCCCCATGAGTGATTAAGTATTCAACCACTTCCAATTTTCCTGAAATATTAAACAGAGAAACAGTTGACTTAACTACTTTGGCGATCACGTTTTATATTTTCAGTTTTCAAATATATAGACAATTACCATCTTGAGATGCCCAGTGAAGTGGTGTGTTATTATTTCTGTCTTTAGAATTCACATCAGCTCCATGTTCGACAAGGTGTTCGACAATCTGCATGTTACCTGTAAAATGTACGACGTTCTTATGAAACAACCTTTCTTCCAAATGAATCCATTGAAAATTACCATTCTGAACAGCCACAAACAAAATTGTATACTTTTCGATAGTTGTAGCATTTATATTTGCTCCATGTTTAATTAAATATTTGAAAATTTCAAATTTGCCTGAAATGTTGTGCAGATCAATAGTAAGCCATCCGACCATGCTTATTTCTATTTTCAAAACCTATATATATATATAGGCGATATAATCAATAATTACCACGTTCAGCAGCCTTATGGAGTGGCGTCCATTTATCATTGTTTTCGGCATTTACCTTTGCGTCATGAGTGATTAAGAACTCAATAATTTTGAGTCCACCTGAAATATTAAGCAGAGAAACATACAGCATCAGACCATTCGCGCGTGATATTTTCAGTTTCCAAACGTATAAACAAATACCATATCGAGCTGCCACGTGTAGTGGTGTATCATGTTTTTTATCTCTAAAATTTACATCAGCTCCATGTTCGATAAGACGTTTGACAATCGGCATGTTACCTGTAAAATGTACGAAGTTCTTATGAAACAAATTT